AAAAAAAAAAAAAAGACTACCACCAGTTAGTTACAAAATGTTTCATTTACATATATATATTAAAATACTAAATTCATCAGAAAAGAATTGATGATTTTTTTTCACTTTCATCGTTAAAGATTTCATTGTTTTAGTTTTATTGTTTTATCACCTATGAAGTTTTTTTCAAGGCAAATAAATTTGTGTGTGTTGGTATGCTGACACACATACATGCCATATAATATAAAAACTCCTAGAAAGAATGTCTGTAAAATAAGACCCCCTTCCCAGAGTAAAATAATACATAGATACTAGAACACATGCTTCACTTCTCTTCTCTTAACTTGTAGTGACAAATAGGTTTGTTTTTTAATTAAAAGAATGAGCTTGAGCTAAAGAGGTGGCTCAGCAGTTAAGTGCACTGAATACTCTTCCAAAGGACCCGAATTCGGTTCCCAGCACCCACATAAAAACTGTCTGTAACTCCAAGATCCGACACACTCATACAGACAGACATCCACCTACAGGCAAAATACCAATGCAAATAAAGTTTTACAAAAGAGGTTGTTGGCAGTAAGTTCACGTAAGTTTAGTGTCCCCTTTAATCACTCGTAAGGCATGATTTTCTTCCCTTCCTGCCCAGGCAGTCACTGTCACACTGTTGGACATTTTTGTGTAATTGATACTACACGCTGTCCTGTTTTTGGTGATTTCATTCATGAGTTTAGGGGAGAGTTTTGGTTGGTTGTCTTAGTTTTGTTGTCTTCTGTACTGAGCTAGCATGCCCTGTACACTACAGAACTACAGTTTCATCCTAAAGTTGTCATATGTTTTGATCATGTAAAGCAAGTCAGACTTTTTTTGGTTTCTTCTTTTGCAAAATTGTCTTGGCTAGTCTTTTGTCTGTTCTCTGTATGAAATTCAGAACTTGGATTACCTGCTGTTAGGTTTCATAAACCTTTTGGGGGTTTTAAAAGGAATTCCATTGAATTAGAGAATGTCTCTGTGAAAAGAGGTTCTGTTTCAAATAAATTGCTATGAATTGTATTTCCAGCTATTGAACTATAGATGAGCTACTTAAACTTGGTTTTGAATTTTAGAAATTACATTCTTCTTCTCATCCTGTTTAGGAAGATGTCCTTTGGAAGAGTCAGTGACTTGGGGCAGTTCATCCGGGAATCTGAGCCTGAGCCTGACGTAAAGAAATCTAAAGGTTGTATGTAGTAGTTTTTATTCTTATAGTAAGCTTTTGCTCACATTAGACACTAAATATGTAAGTGAAGGATTATTTAAGGTTTAAAGTGATTTTTAACTACCAGATTTTTTTTTTAACTCTCTGTGTATGGGAACTTTGTGTAAATACCTCTACAAAATCTCTTCTTTTGAGTAAAAAGTTATTGAACTTGACTTTGCTACTACAGAAGGTGCAGCAGGAAGGGATACATTGTTTTCCCTTTTTATTTAAAGATATACATCCAGTCTATGTTGGCCTTGTGTCTTATCCTGTTACCCTTTAGTTTATTAAATTTCCTCAGTTACGGAAAATTATTATGAAATATGAAGGAAAATAATAAGTTGAAATCCAAATCCTTTATATAACAGTCGGTAGAAGAATGACTTGGTCAAGACTTAAGCTTTAGTGTTGCATGAATAAAAACCGACAGACGGATATTGGGGTTCAAACTGAAGATGAGGAAAGCAAAGCAGTCAACCACTGGAGAGTTCTTACCTCTACCAAGGCTGAGCGAACCTGTGCTCAGCGTGACTGCAGACTGAGACCCTGAGCTCCTGTCTGCTCCCATCTTTATCTGAACACAGCAAGCACTTAAGCACTTTGCCCACTGAACCGTCTCCTTAGCTCTTCTTTTTTCTTTCTGTCTTCCTTTTTTTTTTTTTTTTTTTTTTTTGCAACAGAGTCTCACTGAATAGTCCTAGCTGGCCTGGATTTCACATACATCTGTCTTCTTCTGTCTCCTGAGTACTGAGATTAAAGGCATACACGATACACGCACACCTAACTGTTCTTTTTTTTTTTTTTTTTAAATAAAAATGCATTCTTTGTTACTGATTCCAGTTTCAAATCATTGGTTCACCCAACAAATTTTTGGAAACAAATGTGGATCCATTCAGATGACATCTAGAACTTGTCAGATACTAACTTTGCAAAAGAAAATGCCCTGCTTTATATATTTAAAATAGGAGCTGTTGTTATTCTTTTGGGTTCATAGCACTGTTTTCTTTTGTGCTTTATCTGTTTTTAAATACAAATATATATGTGCATTCTTAATGTAGGGTGTATGTGATGTTTAGATGTGTGAGTATGAGTATCTCCACCTCCTCCTCTGCATAGGAATGCATGCACACACTACCACACCTGGTTTTCACCCGGGTGCTGGTGATCGAACCCAGTTTCTCACTCTTGCACAAGTGCTTTACTCCCTGAGCCTTAATACAATTATATTTTGATAAAGAATTTCACTACTATTTTCATGAATGATCTACTTTTTTAAGGAAAAATGCAAAAGTTATTGAAGTAATATAGAACAAAGAGAGCTTGCTTTCTAGATGACTTTATTTACCTATATAATTGATTTATTTCCTGTTTCATCAGAGCTGTCTAAGATGTTTGGGTGAAGAGTGTAGAGAGTAAAGAAAATGTGAAACATTTTTTTTAGTGCTGGTACATGCTAATCAGTGTTCTACTAAGCTGCGCCCATAGCCAGCAAATGACTTTTGAGTTCTCTGTTTCTGTTCATCCTAATTATTCAATCTCATTCATTCATGCCATTCAATCATGCCATTCATTCTAAAAAACATTAAGTGTCTACTGTGCCTAGGAGAAAACAAGTGCTGTTTTCTCTACAACTCATATGACAGTGGAGGAGACAGTAGACAGATAAACGTCACATGCATCTGTTAAATACTTAGGTATGAGTGTAAAAGGCAGGATAACGGATTGTCAGAGAAGTGGGAAGTAGCATTTGAAAGGTAATATCCAGAAAGGTTAGCCTAGGCTCAAGGTGGCCCAAGGTTCCAGGAAGAGAGGGGTATGGGTCTAGCAGTATCTGGAGGGAGTAGAGGACTGCATTGAAACACAGCAAATGAGCAAGAGCCAAGACCAGTGTGTCCAGAGTAGATGGTAGTAAGGAGCACTGCGGAGATTAGAGGGCTCGTGGTCCATTGGATCAGAGAGGTGATGTGACGGGACTTGTTGAAGGAAGTGTTTTGGCAGCCATTTGTGCTGAACACAGCAGTTTAGGGAAGTAAAGAGGCTTTTAGTCAGTGTCTAAGTCAGGAATGGTGCTCATGAGCTAGGCTCAGAGTAGAAAAGCGGTTTGGTTTATGTTCTATTAGAGGAATAGGCAACAGGATTACATTTCTGCCAGCAATTCCTTCCATTAAGATGATTATCGGGTTTTGTTTGTTTTAATTTAAGGTTTATTTTATGTATATGAGTCTTTTTTTTTTTTTTTTTTTTGCCTGCAAGTTTTATGTGCATGCCTGATGCCCATGGTGGGCAGAAGAGGGGCTTGGATCTTTTGAGACTGGGGTTACAGATGATTGTGAGCTACCATATGATGCTAGGAACTGAACTTGGGTCCTCTGCAAAAGCAGCAAGTGCTCTTAACCTCTTAACTCTCCAGCCTGTTACTTCAACTCTTTTTTTGTTGTTTTTGTTTTTTTTGTTTTTCGAGACTCTTAATAAGACATTCCATGAAATCAAGGCTAGTAGTTTATACTGTTTGATTAAGCATGTCTGTAGACACTGCTGTGTCCTTTGGTTGTCAAGATGGCTCTTTAAATCACATGGGTTTTGGTGATCCAGGAGCATAGAGATTGATTGTTACATTCAGAAAATACTTCAGCCATCCTGAGTGCCAAGCACTATGCCAAATGTCATAGCTATAAATAAAAGGGTGTGGTCTGTCAGTTTTTCTCTGGCTTGGTTCCTTTCTTAAACTTCTGACCTGTTAAACATATCGGGTTAATTCCAGCATTATCTGCCTTTTAGATTTTTCTAATTATGTTACTCAGTTTACTTTTCTTGCCATTTCTTATAAACTGGAAATTATACGTTTTGTCAGAAAATATTTGTCTGTAGTATTGTTCAAAGATTCTTCCTGGTGGTGTGTGGCACACTCCTTTAATTCAAGCACTTGGGAGGCTGTGAGTTTGAGGCAAAAAATTGAGACCCCCGCCTAATATTGAAGTTATATATTAAAATACCACCTAAAAAGAGCTACAGAACATTTAATAGCTGTTTAGCATACAAAATAAAGGGGAGTGAGGTTTTACTTTTCATTTCCCCCTAATCCTCTACTGTGAAACAAGAATTAAGGACTGAACTAGAGAATGCATCATGGTCAGTGTCAGGTCCAGACGTCACTGCTTTGTCATGCTTGTCATCCACCGTCTTCCTTCCTACCTGGATAAAATCTCTCCTCGCTGGAACCTAGGATGCCCCTTCTGGTCGCTGTGGTGTTGCTCTCTCACAAGCCCAGCTCTAAAATTGAGCTATGCCTTGCAGTTCTAAAGTGTCTTCCTTCAGAGGAACTTCTGTGGTTGCTGCCCTGCTGTGGTCTGTGTGCAGTGCTTTGTTCCTCATTTCGGTATTCTTTCTCAGACTGCCTGCCCACAGGAGCCACCAGCATACTGTTGTATAGCTTTCCTCTTGCGTAATTGCAGCATTAGCACTGTGAACTCAGGGATGGTGTATCTTTATTTGGCAATGTATTCTGTTTCTAAAATTGTGCCTACCAGATAATAATCAACATTTGTTGATAAATTAATTTTTAAATTTCATTATGTGATTATGTGAGTGATAAAACTATGAGCTATATTTCAGAACAAAGTCATTTTTAAATTTGGTTGCCTTTTGCATAGACATGTAAGTTTTGTTAGTTTTTTTGTTTTTTCAAGACGGAGTTTCTCTGTGAAACTGTCCTGGAACTCGCTTTGTAGGCCAGACTGGTGTTGAACTCACAGAGATCCGGCCTGCCTCTTCCTGCTGAGTTGTGATTAAAGGCAAGTGCCACCCCCACCTGACTAGTTTTCTTATCTATGCATACGTAACTGTGTGGTCTGCAGATACTCAAAAGATACTGCTCTGGCCCTAAACAGTGAGAACTTACTAGAGTTTTCAAGCTAGTGTAGATCTTAGATGATCCACAAATGAAGAAACTGGGGCCTCAAGAGGTTTGTGGCTTAGATTAAACTGTTCAACTGTAATGAAATAGTCTAGCAAAGGCAACTAAAGGGAGAAAGGGCTTATACTGTCTCACAGTCAAGGGTACACTCCATCATGGCAGGGAACAGGAGGAGGCAGGAGGAGCTCGAAGCAGCTGGTCACATCAGATCCACAGCTGGAGCAGAGAATGGTAAATGCATGCGGGCGCTCAGTTCCTGTACCTCATCTCTGGTTCAGACTCCAAAACTCGAACCAGAGAATGGTGTCGCCCGCAGTGGGCAGGTCTTCCCAAGGAATTTGAGATTGTGTCAGGATCGACAGTTAACACTGTCATCACACATAGCAACTCCAGGGGTTTGACTCAGATTATCCTTTGACAAGAGTTTTGAGTTGTCCTGCCTTGCTAAGGACAACTGACTGAATTTTTGTCCTTTACTGAACTATAACTCTGATTTGACTTTTGAAATCCTGGTAAGAGAGCACAAAGATAAAGATTTAAGTTTTAAGAAAGATCCGGATGCTGGCAGGATGGCTCAGTGGGTAAAGATGCTTGCCATGCCAGCCTGGCAACCCGAGTTCAGTCCCCAGAACCTATGCCAGCTCCACAGAATTGTTCTGATTTCCACATTTGGGTCATAGCCCATTCTTGCCCCTCTCCCCCAGTAATAATAATAAGTATATATTTTAATTAAAAATGCTTGTGAATATCTTAGATGTTTCTGAAAATATGAGAACTTTTATTTCAGGACAAACAGAGTAAGTTATATTTCAAAAAATAGCAAGGGACTGGGTAGATGGTTCAATAGTTAAGAAAACTTTCTTTCTTGCGAGGGAACTCAAGTTCACTTCTCAGCACTCAAGGGCAAGTGACTTACAACCATGCATAATTTCAACTCCATGGGAGACAGAAGCAGGCAGATCTCTGAGTTTGAAGCCATTCTGATCTATAGATCAAGTTCTGGAACAGCCAGGGCTACACAGAGAAACCCTGTCTTAAAACAACAACTGGGTGGTAGTGGTACACTCCTTTAATTCCAGTACTCTGGAGGCAGAAGCAGGTTGATATCTGAGTTTGAGGCTAGTCTGGTCTAGAGTGAGTTCCTGGACAGCCAGGGTTACACCAAAGAAACTGTGTGTCTCAAAAAACAAACATAAAAATCATAAATCTTAATAGCAAGGAATTCAAAAATATGTGAGCTTGTGTCCCTTCAGTGGCACCCCTCCTTGTCCCTGTCTTTGGGAGAGCCCTTCTCCCAAACTGAACTCTGGACTCTGGTACATGGTTTCAGAGCTAACTGCTGGCCAGAAGTATTTTTCCAGTAGTAAAATTTGAAAGAAATTGTGCTGAAGAGAGAGAGATCTCAAGAAGACTGTCAGTCTGTAGGAGTGGTACTAAGAAGGGAATTTGAAGTGAGATAGGTGTTAGCAGGAATTAGAAGGAAGAGTCCAGCCTGAAGGTTGGAAGTCAGGCAGTTGCAGGAGAGCAGTGCAGTAGTGAGCACATAATTCAGCAGCTGGGTGAGATTTTAGTGCTAGCACTTTATTGACTCTGCTTTGCAATAACTGATGATCAGATTAGTATTTAACACCTCAAACGGAGGGCTGGAGGGATACCTGGTGGGTAAGAATGCTTGTTGCTCTTTCAGGAGACTGGAATCTAGTTTCTAGGATCCACATAAGGTGGCCCAAAACCACCTATAACTCCAGCTCCAGGGGATCCAGTGCTCTAGCTTCCATGGGATCCTACACCCACGTGCACAGACACATAGCAACAAATAAGTAAATTTTTTTGTTGTTGTTTTGTTTTTTGAGACAGTGTCTTTATTATGTAATTCTGACCGTCTTGGAACTTACTATATAGACCAGGCCAGCCTTAAATTGACAGAGCTCCACCTGCCTCTGTCTCTGATTGCTGAGATTAAAGGCATGTGCCTCCACTGCCAGGCAATTTTCTTTCTTTCTTTCTTTCTTTCTTTCTTTCTTTCTTTCTTTCTTTCTTTCTTTCTTCCTGGAAAACCTTCAATAATAAAAATTATTGAAGGAAAAATATCTGGATTTTGTATTTTTCTTGAATGGTATTTCTAGGCTCATTTTAGCTACTGAATTAATTAGGATCTTACCTGAAGAATTAATCTGTGGCTAGTGAGATGACTCAGGGAGTAGAGGCATTTGTGGCCAAATTTGACAGCCTTAATTCAGTTCCTAGGACACCCATGGTGAAAGGAAAGAACCTATTCTTCTAAGTTGTCGTCTGAGTTCTACAGTTAGGAATTCCCACCAGCTCCCACTAACCCCCAATAAATATATAATGTCTTGAAGGTGTGTGTGTTTTAGAGAAAAAAAATACTGTTCTTGCCTGTTGTTGCCCGCCTTCAATCTAACACTTAGGAGGCAGAGACAGGCAGATCTGTGGATTCAAAGCCAGCCTGGTCTACAGAGTGAGTTCCAGGACTACACAGAGAAATTTGAAGGAATATTTCAAACTGAAGAGAAAAACAAATTCATCCATCAGTCTCCTGATGTGTTGATAGATTCTTATACCAAACCATTATATTGTTTAAGGATTTGTTTTCAGTGATAGCTACAAGTCTAACATTAACCACCTTCATCTGCTGAGAGGAGTAGAAGAAAAATTCAGAATCCTGAAACAGCTATTTAGAAGCATTTTAAGTCACGATTTTCACGTTATTGTAAACATTGTGTTATAGAAATGATATGACTGTTTTTATTAATGCTTTTAATAGGAAACTAGGAAAGAATATCCATGTCTAAGAGACATCTCCAAAATCATTTGTAACGTAAAATTACATTAAAATCCATATTCATTTTGGCTTTGCTCACCAGGATTCATGTTCTCACAAGCTATGAAGAAGTGGGTGCAAGGAAATACTGATGAGGTGAGTCTTACAGAAGCAGGGAACCTACCCTTGTCTGAGGAAGGCTGCATGTCTCTTCCTGTGGTTCCTTGTTACACAGATGACACGTCAGTGCCCTCTTATTCTGGTTGTAACAAGGAAGGCTCCACTTAGCATTTAATAATTGCCCAGTGGTAACAGTAAAAGCATCTTCAGAGACTGTGATCACTGACACCGCCACCAGATCACTAATGTAAAGACAAAAGTGGAGATGTTTTCTTCGGCAGTTTCAGTTGTAGTTTTAGCAGGAATCGTGTGGAATAGTTAAGTACATTGAGAGATTAGAGTGGACGAAGAAAAGTGTTCTATTTTGACCTCAAACATAGAAAGTAATCACGATGTTGGCTACTCAGTAGCTGACTCTGTAAGACCGTGAGGTACATGTTAATATATCACACCAGCGGTGCCCAGATTCTTTGATTATATAGGGAAGGTACTTTACCCAAATGGAAGACTGATAGATGTATCTTGATTCTCCTAATGAAGGGTCTTTATCAACAATGTGAATAACTTCTTTCAGGCTCAAGAGGAACTAGCTTGGAAGATTGCAAAAATGATAGTGAGTGACGTTATGCAGCAGGCACACTGTGATCAACCGTTGGAGAAATCTACGAAGGTAAGGGTGACTTGCATTCTGACTTAGCCTTTCGTTGCTGGGGTTTGTTGTTGTTGTTGTTGTTTGTTTGTTTGAGACAGGGTCTTAATGTAGCCCAGGCTAGGCTCAAAGTCTTCTGACTGATGTCCACCTAGAACTTCTGATCTTCCCACTTCTGCATACCAACTGCTAGAATTATAGGCTGTGCCATCAAAACTGGTTTGTATGGTACTGGGAGCAACCCTTGGGCTTTGCGAATATTACAGAAGCACTCTACCAAGTGAACTGTTTCTCTGCCCCTGGCCTGGCTTTTGTAAAGTAAATAAATAAACAAACACACACAGGCACATATTTTGATTGTTTAATACTTTTAAAAAGAGGAGCTAGAATTAGGACTCTGTGCTTAAAAGTATATACTGCTCTTGCTTGGGTGGGTCCTGAATTTGGTTCCCCAAATCCACAACCACCTGTGACACCAAGTATGATGCCTGCGGATCTCCTCAGATACCTGCACTCATAACACATATGCATATATACATATATATGATATTAGGATACTTCTGTATCTGCCTCCGAAGCATTAGCTGCTATAGGAATTACCTTTCATCATAAGGAACTGCAAGACTGATGAACTAAACAAAATATATTTCCAGATAGTGGACAGTATATGATCTTCAAAAGCAGTAGAACTGAAGTGAATCCCTAGCCCACTGTTGGCAGTTGGCTTCTCAAGTAGAGAAGGCAAGTCTTAACAGAGCCAGATTTGATGAACTTAAAAATGAAAAGGAACATTTAGAGAGGAAAAGCTTGATGTGGTTATTTATAGCAGTTATGAAACGGGGCATCAGAAAAGAAGATGCTGTCCAGAAAAAAAAAGAGCTATAGAGATACTTGGGAAGGCCCTCAAGTCATTGACCAGATACCAGTCTTCATGGATGTACATGAAAATGCTTATCTCGGGGCTAGAGAGATGGCTCAGAGGTTAAAGAGCACTGACTGCTCTTCCAAAGGTCCTGAGTTCAATTCCCAGCCACCACATGGTGGCTCAAAACCATCTGTAATGAGATCTGGTGCCCTCTTCTGGCATGCAGGCATACATGGAGGCAGAATGTTGTATAATAAATAAATAAATAAATAAATAAGTACTTATCTCTAGGGAACAAACCCCCAAAAGTTAGATGTTGGCTGATATCCAAAAGATGGGGCCAGGAATAGTTGGTGTTTCTTCTGGCCACAGTAATAAACAAAGAATACTGAGCATTGGGAGTTATGTCTTACTGTTGGAGTTAAGTGAAGCCTAATATATGTCAACAAAGTTTAAAAGCAGTTTGGAAGGATCAGACTACACACAATTGTACGCCAAAACAAAAGTTGCCAGGCGAAGGTGGCGCGCGCACGCCTTTAATCCCAGCAGAGGCAGGTGAATCCCTGTGAGTTCCAAGGCCAGCTAGTTCCAGGACAGCTAGGACTGTTACTCGGGGAAACCCTGTCTCAAAAAACAAACAAACAAACAAAAAAAAAAAAAGTTAACCCTCTTTAAAGGAACGTAGCATAAAGGTAGAAAGAGAGAATTGACTGACAAAATTGCCCTGACCATCACAGCCCATTGTAGCATGTGCACCTACCCATACACATCATGCCTGCACACACACAAAATAATATTGAATAATAATATTGAAAATAATAATGATCATAATGATCATGGGAAGCCTTTTCTGAAGAATGGGTTTGGGGTTGGATGAGAGGGAAGCTGGAGGGAATGGGAGGAGGGGAGGAAGTGGAAACTGGATTTGGCATGTAAAATGAGAAAAGATAGGGTTTTTTTAATTAATTAAAAAATAAGCAAAATGTAAAAAAATAATAATGAACAAAATTTAAGAGGAATGTCAAGGCAAACAGTATAGTGGGGAGTAATAGAAGACAGGATTTAAAAACCAAAGTTCCTGAAATAAAAATTAGAGGTGGAAAATGACATTGAATGAAATCAGTTGCCATTTAGGAACCACAAGAAAACATTGACTCCTACATGAAGACAAACAGAAAAAAACTGGAAATATTTTTTAAAAATTGAGTAAAACAAATGCTATTAAACAATGTATGCCAGCTAACAAACATTTGAGGCACAAGTTGGGATACAGAAAAAAATATAACTAATGATTAAAATTTTTCAAAATTTGATGAAAACTAAATCTGTGTATACAGATTTAGCAAAAATTCTAATTGGTCTTAATAATAAAAACCCAGTCAGATATTAGGGGGTGAAAGCTGAGAGATCAGAGAAGCAGAGCAGTCAGCTACTAGACTTGGTGAGTTCTTACCTCTACCAATGCTCACATCAAAGAGGCGATCCTATCACTACAAAACCTCAACTGTATCTGAACCCCTGTCTCCTCCCGAGCCTTATATTCCTCTCTCTGCCCAGCCATAGCATTCCTGTTTCCACCTCCCCAGTGCTGAGATTAAAGGCGTGGGATCCTAAGTGCTGGGGTCACCTTTGTGTGAGCTCTGTTTCTCTTGTGTAGCCCAGGCTGGCCTTGAACTCACAGAGATCCCTCTGTCTCCTGAGTGCTGGGATAAAGGTGTGTGCCACCACTGCCTGGCCTCTCTGGCTCTAGTGGCTTAGAATAGCTGCAGATGTTTTTTTGGCTTTTGGTTTGTTTCTCTCTCTCTCTCTCTCTCTCTCTCTCTCTCTCTCTCTCTCTCTCTCTCTGTCTCTCTGTCTCTCTCTCTCTCTCTCTCTCTCTCTCTCTCTCTCTCTCTCTCTCTCTCTCTGTCTCTCTGTCTCTCTGTCTCTCTGTCTCTCTGTCTCTCTCTCTCTCCTGAGACAGGGTTTCTTTGTGGCTTTGGAGCCTGTCCTGGAACTAGCTCTTTGTAGACCAGGCTGGCCTCGAACTCACAGAGATCCTCCTGCCTCTGCCTCCCGAGTGCTGGGATTAAAGGCTTGTGCCACCACCGCCTGGCTATGCTAAAGATGTTATTACGTACAGGTAAGAACAGCAATCATTTCGTCAAATGTTAAGCAGGCCAGAAGATGTCTAAGTAGAAGTCAAACAGTGAAGGTGGCTTTTGGTGAGGAAGTTAAATAAAGGGATTTCTTTTTTTTTCTTCTTCAAGCCAAATAAAACGTGAGAGCGTTCATTTCCTCTGACAAAATAATTAAAATCAATTTAAGGAGTTTTTTTCAAGCCAGTTGTGGTGGTAGAACTTGGCTCTCAGGAGCCTGAAGGTGAAGGATCATAAATTTAAAACCAGCCTATACTCTATAGGGAGTTCAAAGGATGCCTAGCCGCATAATCCTCTAAAAGATAAAACAAGACAGACAACCCGACTAGACTTTTTTTTTAATTAAAAAAATGTTGTCACTTTTTGGATGATTTTTTTTCTTAAAATTTTAAAATTTATTTTGTGTGTGTTTATGTGTTCACATGTTTATTGGTTTGCATGTAGAGGTCATAGTTTGACATCAGGCGTCTTCCCCAATTATTCTCCACCTTATCTTTTGAGACAGGCTGTCTCACTGACCCTGGATTCTTCTGCACTAGCTGTTCTGCAAGCCCCAGCGATCCTCCTGCCTCTGCCTTTCCTTCGCATGCCACTGTGCACGGCTTCCCTGGGTGCTGGGATCTGAACCTTGGTCCTCGTGCTTCTCCAAGCACTTTACCCCGAGCCATCTCCCCAGCCCCACCATATACAGTTTTTATGTGCACAGGAATCATCTGCCAGGATATGCCATATCCTCAGTCATAAAACAGATTTCATTATTGTAAATGAGTGAAACCTACGTCTGTTTTCTGACATAAATATATATATTTATTAAAGAGCCTCCCCATTCAAGTACTTGATATAGGTCCAGCATTGACCTTGCCCCGCCTGTTGTTAGCTGTCCTTCTGTCAACACTGGTTCATACACTCGTAGAGTACAGCCTCTTTTCTGTGTAAGTGTACCAGGCTTTTTCTTTTAGGCTACCAACCAGCTCCCAAATCATGACACACTATTAGTTTGAATGCTCTGCCTAGCGTAGGCTTGTTTCTGGCTGGCTCTTTTAACTTAAATTAACCTGTTTATCTACCTTTTGTCTTGGGGCTTTTTACTTTTTTTTTTTTTCTGTATATCTTATTTTGACTGTTTCTTGTGTCTGGCAAAGATGCCTGGCTTCATGCCCTGGGCACCTCCCTCATTCTCTCCTCCTCCTTCCCCTCCTCCTGAGCCTGGATTTCTCCTCCTATCCTCTCTGCCTGCTGGCCCCACCTGTCCTTTCTCTGCCTAGCTGTGGCCATTCAGCTCTTTATTAGACCAGTCAGGTGCCTTAGCCCGGTAAGGTAAAACATGCAATGCATCTTTACATAATTAAACTAATGCAGCATAAACAAAAGTAACACACCTTTACACAGTTAAAGAAATATTCCACAGATAAACAAAAGTAACACACCTTTACACAGTTAAAGAAATATTCCACAGATAAACAAAAGTAACACACCTGTACACAGTTAGACTAATGTTCTACAGCAGAAACAAAAGTAACACACCTTTACACAGTTAGACTAATGTTCTACAGCAGAAACAAAAGTAACACACCTTTACACAGTTAAAGAAATATTCCACAGATAAACAAAAGTAACACACCTTTACACAGACTAATGTTCTACAGCATAAACAAATTAATACATCTTTGCCCAGTTAAAATAATATTCCACAACTATAAAGATGATCATTTTTGTCAAACCTTAAACAGTCAAGTCCCTTATCTACCAAGTACACAGGGGGACACATTTAGGCCAAAGAGAATTAAAAGAACTCCTGGGACACTAAAAATTCAAAATTTTCATAAATCAATTGGTGGAGGACTATGTCAGTCAATGCCTCCCTTGCCAGGCTACTAACCCAAAAAAGAAAGAGCCCTCTCAAAGCAAAAAGGAAAGTAAAGGTAAAGTTGTATAAAGAAGTACAAGATGGTTATTTTGTGATTCTCCATCATTACGTTGATGATCAGATGTTGGAAAATAAGGAAATGTTTAGAAATCATTTTGGAACTAGATGTTTAAAAAATTGAGGATCTTTATTTGAGCATTGTGTGTTCTTATTTTATTCCCATGTGATTTTCATCTTTATGATAAATGTGTGTGTGTGTGTGAGGGGGG